CCAGCACCACCAGCAGCAGCAGCACCAGCAGCACCAGCACCAACACCAACTGCAGCAGGGGGAGGAGTGGGGCTCTTTGCCACGTCACCAAACTTGTCATGCTGCCACCTATCCTCCCCTCCCCCCTCCCGCTTGAAACTCCTCACTCTCACCGGCTGCTCCTCGTCTCGCCATCCATCATCCAAAGGTGCATTGCCTCTTCTCCCCAACTCCGCATTCGCGCGGTTACCGTCGCGACGGGAATCTGCTGTGCCTGGGTAAACCTGATCGCGGCCGTAATAGTAGTGCCCACGGTACTTGGCCGTTTCCTCCACCCAATCGCGTGCTCGCTCCCCACGCTCCCTGCCTCTTTCGGTTCGATCGATCCTCCTCTGCTCCTTCTCTCTGTCCCTCTCTCTGTCCCTGTCTCTCTCCCTCTCCTTCTCCCTTTCCCGACCCCGGCCAGCCGAAGTAGGCCTATCACCCTTACCACCAGCATCCGCGCCATCAGCATCATCGTCCTCACCCTTGGCCACAACAACAAAGCTCCTTCTTTTTGGAACCACATCCCTTCCCCCTCCTCCTTCTTTTACCTCCCTCTTCCCCTCCTCAAATTTATCATGGCCCCACCGCTCCTCACCCCTCTCCCTCCCATGACCCCCTCCCCTCTCCCTTGTCTCCCCCTTCCCTTCTCTCTCACCCCTCTCCACTCCTCTCTCCCACCCCCTCTCCCTCTCATCCTCATACCTCCCACGTTTACCCTCCCTCTCCCTCTCCTCGCCGCCTCGCTCCCTCCCCCTTTCCTTACCCCTGCTCCCATTCCTCCCCTTCTCGCCCTCCCTCTCTCCCGCCCTCTCCTCCTCCCTCTCCCTCTTCCTCTCTCTACCCCGCCCCTCCTCCCTCCTCCCCTTGCCATCGTCTTCAAAATCAAAGGAGGAATCACCGGGCTTGGGCCCCCATGTGCTGCTGTTGAGGTTTGAATAGTCTGGGGAAGGGGGGAAGGGGAGGATTAGCAGGGGCACAAGATTAGAGAGCACAAGATTAGAGGGCACAAGGGCAAGAGATAGGCTGGTCAGCCCTTTGCCATCATCCTCCCAGTCAAAGGAGGAATAGTCGTGCTTAGAACCCCACGTGCTGTTGTTGAGGCTGGAAAAGTCTGGGAGGGAGGGATGATTAGCAGAGAGGAGAAGGGAGAGCATAAGCAGGGGCGCAAGGGTGAGGGATAGGAGTTGGTTTTTGAGAATTCTCAAAAACCAACTCGTAGCAGAGACGAAAAGGGAGAGCATAAGCAGGGGCGCAAGGGTGAGGGATAGGCTGGTCACCCCTGATGGCGCAAGGGTAAGGGATAGGCTGGTCACCCCTTGGCCATCATCTTCAAAGTCGAAGGAGGAATCACCGGGTTTAGGCCCCCATGTGCTGCTGCTGAGGTTGGAAAATTCTTTTGGGGGAGGAGGGGGGGAGGGTGATAGGGTGAGAACGTACCCGACCTCACGTGCTGCTGTTGAAAAGAGATGTTTTGAGACGTCTCAAAACATCTCTTTTATCACGTGACAGGGTAAGAAAGTACCCCACCCCACGTGCTGCTGTTGAAGGCTGATTAGTCTAGGGGGGGAAAAGGGGGAGGGTAGTGGGGTGGAGAGGGAGGGAGGAGGGAGAGGGAACGCTGGAGAGGGGAGGAGGGAGAGGGGAGGAGGGAGAGGGGAGGCTGGATACAAAAGAGTGCATTCAAGGGAACAGGGCTTACCATGGGGAGAGGAGGGCTTACCTGCAGGGAGGTATACCTGCAGAGAGGGTTTACCTGCAGGGAGGGTCTACATGGGGAAAGCTTACCTGCGCGTGGGCCTGACGAGAGGCGAGGGCGACGAATGGGTTCGTTCAAACGATCGTCATGCTGCACAGAGGGAGGAGCAAGGGAGGGAAGGGAGCGGACACACGGGGAAGCAGTGGGAACGGGGGAGGGGGCGACATGAGAGGCGATGGCGACGAATGGGTTCGTTCAAACGATCGCCAGGCTGCATGGAGGGGGAGCATGGCGGGGAAAGGAGGGAGGGGGGAACACGGGGAAGCAGTGGGAGCGGGGAGGGGGGTGACAAGGGAGTGAGTTTTAGACGAATGGGTTCGTTCAAACAATTTTCGTGCTGCAAACAAGGGTAGCGCCGTGGGGAAGGGGAATGGGAGGGAGGGGAGGAAACGGGGAGGGGGAGGGAGGGAGTGGGGGGAAGGGGCCAGGCCACACGGAAAAGCAGTGGGAACAGGAGAGGGGGCGACATGGAGTGAGTTTTGAGTCGACTCAAAAGTCAGCTCGGTATAATGTCACACGGGAGGGAGTGGGGGGAAGGGGCCAGGCCACACAGCAAAGCAGTGGGAACAGGAGAGGGGGCGACATGGAGTGAGTTTTGAGTCGACTCAAAAGTCAGCTCAGTATAATGTCACACGGGAGGGAGTGGGGGGAAGGGGCCAGGCCACACGGCAAAGCAGTGGGAACAGCATGGCGACATGGAGTGAGTTTTGAACGGATGGGTTTGTTCAAGGCAGAGTAAGAGTAAGAGATTTCCTTAGAACCGACTTTTGAGTCGATTCACAAATCACTGAAACGTGGGAATGAGTGACCGAGTGAGCATGTACGTACCAAGGTGACTTTTGAGTCGACTCAAAAGTCAAACGTGGAAGTGAGTGACCGAGTGAGCATGTACGTACCAAGGTGACTTTTGAGTCGACTCAAAAGTCAAACGTGGGAGTGAGTGACCGAGTGAGCATGTACGTACCAAGGTGACTTTTGAGTCGACTCAAAAGTCAAACGTGGGAGTGAGTGACCGAGTGAGCATGTACGTACCAAGGTGACTTTTGAGTCGACTCAAAAGTCAAACGTGGGAGTGAGTGACCGAGTGAGCATGTACGTACCAGGAAGAAGCGGGCTGATCTCGGGATGTGCTGCGGGTCAGGATTCACAAACTCTGGCCTGAACTCTCCCTTGGGACCTCCACCACCACCACCACCACCAGCAGCAGCAGCAGCAGCAGCTGTCTAACCCACCATCCACGTCCATACCCTCCGCGCCTTCCTCGAGGCTCCCTTGCCCTTGGTACCGGTCCCCCCAGCCCCCCCTTCCCCCCCTCCCTCTTCCCCTCCCCCTCCCCTCCGCGCCGTTATACCCGCGGCTGCTGCTAAACCCGCCGCCATACCTCCCCCCGTCCGCGTACCCCTCTCCGCCGCGCCAACGGTCTTGGTCCCTCCAGCCGCCCCCTCCCCTTCCTACGCCTCCGCCTCTGCCGCCGCTCGGGCCGCCGCGAAAGGCGCCGTTGGTCGCGGGCGGGGGATCCGATCCGACTGTCTCGATGCGCTCGGAGACCCAACGGCCCTGCGCTCCGCGCGCCCGCTCGGGGCTGAGGGGAAGTGGAGTGCGGAATGAGAGAGATGGGGGGGGGGGGGGGGGGGGGGGGGGGGATGAGAGAGGGGAAGAGAATGGGGGGAGAGGAGAGGAGAGACGGGAGGAAGTTGTGTGGGGATGGGGGGGGGGGGGGGAGGGGGGGAAGGGAGGGGGGAGGGCGGGTAGGAGTGAGATCAAGGCGAGGAGTGATAATAATGGATAACGGTAGATTATATTTTTGGGGGAAGGGGGGGAAGGTGAAGTACATGCTACGTAAATCCGAAGGAAAAAACTGGTACAAAGTAAGGGTAATCAGCGACAAAGGTATCAAAATCATTACAACGAAATCGGCTGATCAGCAGGGGTTGTTACGGTCATCGAATAGCCAGCCAACCTCGTGGTAGACCAACGGAAATAGATCTCAAGCGTTGAATCGGGCGAGGGTGAGTATGCGCGCAAATGCGCGCCGATGCGCGTGCACCTGTCGCTTACCTGTCCTCTTCCATATCTAACGCGCTCCAGAAACCAGGATCTACTGCCTGGCCGCGTGGCCGCAAACGGTGGAGACGAGGACGCGAACGAAGCAGCTAAAGACGAAACGAAGGTGTAAACGGATCAGCAGAAGCCGAAACAAGAAACAGCAGCAGTTGATGACAGAATGCTGATCTTGGTCCAGACCAGAATCAGAAAAGCAACTGCACCGTACTAAACCGGACTGAACTGAGCTTCTATGGTTCATGAGAAATCAAGGAATCGCAAGAACCTTGGGATTGTTTCCCAAGAATCTGAGCACCAGTGCTCCGATACGAGAGATCGGGTGGACTTGAATTTTTCGACACTGAGGTCACGGTACACCAAATTGATTCAAAACAAACCACCTGAAATTCACTTACGGTACTTTTCACCAACTTGTTGAAATATACTCATACGGTGAACCCACTTCAAAATCCTTAGGAGGCTTGATACACAAGAACATACTCTTGCATATAACCTAACCTATCGACCTAAATGGATACTCATGTAGATTGATACAACTTTGTCTTCAACATGTCCCATATGAGGCGGTAAAAGGTCTCGGGTTAGGTCCCCTACCAGACCATCCCATATTATCTCAGATGACTCTTCACCCAAGGCCTCCCCAGAGACCTTGTACCGCCTTATATTGTAACCTGTTACTGGCGCTGCTTCTACTGCGTAGCCGCTCGAAGGGAGCTGGTTAATTGGGAAGTGTGGCGCACCAATCGAGGCAGCAGTAAGAGGATGTAAGGAGTTGCAGGGAGGGATGATCGTGAGTCTTGAGGATGTGTTCCAATCCGCGGTCTGAGTTGCTCGGAGAAATTCCGGAATGCATTCGACGGTCAGGAACTGCCGTCGCTTCTGGGCCGATCATTTGCTGTGCCGTTTGCTGAAATGGGCTTGTTTCCAGCAGATGCACCAGCATCACGACCACCAGCAACAGCATCACCAGCTGCAGCACCACCAGCGACAGCATCACCAGCTGCAGCACCACCAGCACCAGCAGTAGCACCAGCGGCAACACCAGCAGCAGCGGAGAAATCACCCTCATCCCACCCACTCTCTCTCCTTTCACCCAGAAAGGGCAAAAAAACCCTCTACTCCACACTCGCCGCTTCACATCTCAACCTTTCTTCTCTCAGAACCACCCCGGTTGACTCGTCAAAACATCAGCTCCAGGCCCGTCCGCCTCAATCGAGCATGCCCCTCTTACAGGGTCCAGATTCGCTTGCACTAAAAACCTCGACCCGCGCGCGCCGACAAGATTATACACCACGCCGGTAACCGCATCCTTCTTGACGTCCCCGTACTCGTGCGAGCAGATGTCGGCGTTCTCCTCACCCTGGTCGTCGAACCACGTGGCGAGGAAGGGGCTGCTGGTGGCCTCTGCGAGTTCATGCGCCAACACCGACACCATCCCGTCCATCCCCGCGTCGCCATTCGGGGCCACTGCTCCGCGGCGGTTGAGATGGGGAGGAATGCAGCGCTTGGGACACTGTGGGAGGGGTGAAGAAGACGGTGAGAAAAAGATGGAGGAGGAGAGGGTGAGCAGTGGGTCAGGGGGAAGTGGAATGTACAATCACAACTTGGTAAGGCGCGAGCCAGGGAGCATGCGCTGGGTGCGGTTGTGTTGCGTTGGGGCTGCTGTGCGGGTTGTGTGGACTGAGCTAATTGAGCGGATCGAGTGAATTGAGTGGACTTGCACTGCTGCTTACCCTGGTGGCGGCGTTGCCGACGAACGCAATGGGGAGTTCAAGAGCGTCGCGCGTGTAGAAGTGCCATCCGCAGTAATTCCTGCAGAACGCGGATTTCTCCGGAGCGGTATCGTCTTCTTGCGCGACGGTCTCGTCTCCCATGACGAAATACACGCCGTTCGGGTCGTTCGCGAACTGCTTGCTGGTAACCGCGGACGAGACGAGTTTCGCCACGTCGGTGCTCAGAAGAGTGCGGCCCTTGGAGTAATCCGCGTCGTCGATCTCTCCCTTTAGAGTCACAAATGCGGAGATATGGTTGCCCATCGCGTCGTAGTATAGACGGTTCACGTTCCACCAGTTAATGACTGTAGCGTCGGTGTCGTTGCTGTTATTGAGTGACTCGATAAACGTGCGGATGATCTGCTTCTGCGCGTCTGTGAACTTGCCGTACCATATAAGGTACACTGAGATGGGCTTGTACATAACCCCGCAATACTTTGGAAGGGGGTTGCACACTTTGGAAACCTCGGGATCATCCCAATGCGGGTCGATGTTGTGGAAAGCGGGGGAGCCGCGGGGCGGAAAGATGGAGGCGGAGGAGGAAGGTGCGGGGAGCGCTGAGGCGATCATCTGGCTCACCGCCTCGGGTGAAGGGGCGGGGGCGGAAGTAACGGCGGACGCGGAAGAAGCGGCGGAGGCGGAAGGAGCCGCGGAGTTTACGGCAGCGGATGATGAGGTGACGGGTTCACTGCTGCTGCAAAGGCAGAAGCAGGACGAAAAGCAGAGGATAGGGTGGAGAAGGAAGAGATGGGTGAGATGGGTGAAGCGAACGTGGGAAACAATTGGGAACGAGGCTGAGGTGCTAATATCTGGGATTAAATGCTTTTCAGCGAATGGTGGTAACAGCCCGGCACCGCTCACCTCGTGTCGACGACATGCGCGATTCCTTCCGGCATCGCGCCGCGCATCAGCAGGTCATCGTCCGTGCGCTTGCGCCATTTCTGCGGGCGGAATCAGGGGAGAGACGGGGGAAGAGGAGAGGTTAGGCCACAGGGTCGCGGGGGAGGGGGAGAACAGGATAGTCACATGGGGTGGAGAGGGAGAGGGGGGGGGAGAGGGGGAGGGTGCGAGGGGTGGGGAATAGGAGGACATAGTAGCATCAACGGGTCGCTGTGCTGAGACTACGACTGATGCGCGAACCAGCAACATCTTGCTAACTGAAGAGAATTATGAGAGAGGCGGCTCGAGGACGGCCAGGTATTTCTTTCTAGGCGCATCAAAAACGCAGTGCGAGGCGAGAAGAGTCTGTGCGACAATCGCGACGACTTACGAGGAGTCGTCTGTGCTGTCGCGCGCAGGCGAGGGTGGAGAGTGTTGCGAAGAGGAGAAGTGCGACGATGGCTCGTATATGCAACGACGGCCGGCTGATACTTCTGAATGCCATGGGGCCTGAACTGGACTCTGGAAAATGAAAACGGAGTTACACGTTCGGACACTAGCTAGACTCAACCAAGACTCGACCTCTAGGTTCGTAGTGCTGAGCAGTGCCAAACTTTGGTTGTTCGGCTTTTAGTATAACGAAAGAGCTATCGCGACGGAGAGATGCACACGAGGCGCGACCAAAGAACGGTGACGTGGCCGCGCCGACTAAAGTGGGACGAATGGGTGCTTGGTGGGTCTGATCACGTTTGCCTCGCAATGCGGAAATGGCTGGTTGATTGTGCTTTGCTGTGCTGTTCCTGTTACTAGCCCGCAATTTGCGAAAGGTGAGAGATGGTTCTCGATAATCGGTGGGAGGTGGTGGTTGTGGAGGGTCGCTTCGCTAAGCGATGCACAGGGAACCTAAGACGCGGAGGCGCAGAGCCATTTGGTGGGTGGGAATTCGAACATCAGAGTTCAAACATCGAGTGAACCAATTCGATTTGAGGGCGCAAAAGCGCACGTCGCAATACAGCGCAAACAGATGGGAACAGCTGGCAGGAATGCGAATTTCGGGCCTGTCCGTGTGCAATTCTGTCACCCGTGAGCCATTTCTGAAGCTATCTGACGAAAATATTTGATTCGGGCTTGGGCAGGCGCAGCAGGGAGAACTCGAACGATCTCATGTTTTTTTGGGACGGTCAGAAAGTTGTTGGTCAGATGGGGATGGCGTGATTTGTCGACTGGACGGTGGACCTAGGCGCGGTTATCCCACGTCTCGTACGTAGGTCACACCGATCTTTCACATGCAGTCACGTCGAGTCGCTCATCGTTTGTTGCTTGCCGAATTTTGTCGTCTTTCAATTGTTCACGGAGGTCATTGGCAGGGGCCTAGTTTTATATTAAAAAAACCCCCCTTTCAATCCAGAGTCTACTTGTGAATCAATCCTGCTGGTTATTCAGACTACTCTTTCAAAACTGGGTCTAGTACACCACCGAATCTTGACTGCTGGAAGGAAACAAACCCCGAAAGGACTGAAATTTATCAGGGTCATCCAGAACAAACGTGAAAACAAACCTGAAAAGGGGATGAGGTAGCACGTAATTTCGGGCTGCGTTCTGTTGGCGCATAGCTTGTGCGTAACCCTAACAGAGAATATACGAGGAAATTGCGTCACAAGGCTTGGGGCTGGAGGGAATCGTTAGTGTGACCCGAACCTCTGCTGCGGAAGTTGTGCGCGCATTACTTGTGCGTGCTAAAAAACGCTGTACTGCCTGTGCGCTCCGAATATTCCAGGAGCTTGCGTTCACAGGCAAACCTCCCGCACAGCCTGTGCGAGTCCCAACCGCTCCTCTCCCAGCGTTAAAGGGGCGCACAAGCTGTGCCGGGCAGCGAAAAACGCCCGGGAAAAGAACGACTTCGGCTAGTTTCTGAACCCAACGGTTACCAGCCCACGAGATGGGAAGATCTTGCAGGATCATGAGAGCCACATCCTGTCGTTGTGTGCCAAAAAGGTTTCCCTAGGTCAGTGTTGTTGCTTTCCAAGATTTTGGGTCTGCCCCTACGTAAACTCCCTGGTGCCTGCCCCGCAGATACCTCGCGCCTGGGTCATAACTTCGTGGTAATTTTACGGGGGTGCTCTCCTGCGCGGAAACCTCCAAGCGCACAACTTGTGCGTCGTGCGCGCATAACTAATGCGCCAACAGAACGCAGCCTCGGTGCCTTTGCTGGGAGCGCCATGCCTGCCGCACATTCGGGTTTGGCTAGGTCAAAGGCTGCCCGCACCTGTCAACGTTCGCTCACCTCAACTCTGCCCGCACCCTATACTGTATAGGAGTTTGAATTGTTTTGGTGCTGCGAGAGTTTCGAAGCGCACGGCCAAACTGTAAAAGTACATCACCAACAGCTCCACGAATTTTGCGAGTTATCCGCTGTTGGCAGACACTCTACATACGTACCGTATTCCTGTTAAATAATCGTTCATACAAACTATATCTTTCCATGGAATTAAATACCATTCACAAAGCACATGCATGATAGTTTGTATTGATTATATACACCAGTTATGAGTTAAATAAGAGAAGTGGCCATTCAATATCGATAACAGCTGTGTTCTCAACACTTTGTATGGAAACCTTCATGTAGTTCATACACTTCGAAACTTAAAACCCAAACAAGCTCTTGAAGAAGGAAACAAGTGCATCCCATGTACTCCCTCCAGTGGGGGTTCCAGTAACTGGTGGCTCAGGTGTAGCAACAGTAGGCGGCTCTGGAACGGTTTCAGGAGGTGTAGGGACGGTAACCTGGGGTGTTGGAATGGTGACAGGTGGCTCTGAAACGGGTGGTGGACTGGGAGTAGGACCAGCCGGAGAGGGAGGCTGGCTCGGGCTTCCCAGAGCCTCTGGCCCATCAGACTGAACAACACAGCGGCCGGTAACCGGGTCAAGATTCGCCTGCACAATGAACTTAGATCCCCGAACACCCTCCAGGTTGAAGTACGCTCCTGTAGTTGCATCCTGTGTTACATCTCCATACTCCCCTGCGCAGATGTCGGCGTTCTCCTCGCCCTGATCGTCGAACCACGTGGCGAGGAAGGGGCTGCTGGTGGCCTCTGCGAGTTCATGCGCCAACACTGACACCATCCCGTCCATCCCCGCGTCGCCGTTCGGCGCCACCGCTCCAGGCTGGTTCAGGTACGGCGGGATGCAGCCCTCCGGACACCTGGTTACCGCGTTACCGACAAAGGAAATCACGAGCTCGAGGTTGTCGTGGGTGTAAGCGTGCCAGCCGCAGTAGCTGCTGCAGAATCCTGACTGGGAGTAGCTTGAATCGTCCTCTTGAGCCACTTGAGAATCTCCAAGGACAAAATAGACTCCGTTGCTGTCATAGGGCAGTTTCCCCTCGTTCACAGCGGACGAAACGAGGTCGGCGACGCCAGAGTTGTATAGAGTGGTGCCTTTGGAGTAGCGTGTGTCGTCTATTTCGCCCTTGAGAGTGACGGATCCAGAAATGTAGTTGCCTTGGGCGTCGTAATAGAGCCGGTTGATGTTCCACCACTTGGGAACTACCCAGAGGAAAGGAGGTAGGAATACGACAGCATTCAAAGGGCAGGGATTGATAGTGAAAAATGAAATGCGTGGCATCATGCTGCGAGGGATGCTGCCGCGAGTGAGAGAATGTATGGAGGAATGATGACACGAATATGATGCCACGCAGAGGAGGAAAGGTGGAAATCTGGTGAAGAGCATTACCAGTCAAAGAGGTGTCGTTGCTGCTACTGAGCGATTCAATAAACGTGCGCATGATCTGCTTCTGCGCCTCCGTGAACTGGCCGTACCATACGAGGTACACCGCAATGGGCTCGTGCATGACTCCGCAGTACTTGGCGTTCGCGGAGCACATGTAGGCGGCACTGGGATCGTCCCAGTGGTAGCCAATGTTCTTGGGTGCGGGATTCGTTGAGGAAGCACCGACTTGAGCGCTGTTGTTGCCGGAGAAGGGCGCATCGTGGACAGAACATGAGGATCATGAAAAAGGGGACGTAATTCATAGGAAAATGCGCGTGAGAGGCGGCGGTGTTACATGAAAAGGGCTTAAGATCAGAAACGGATTTCCAAAAATGAGTTTTTCTGTTTCAGAACAGGCGTTAGCTATACCTGTTATCTATGAGAGATCTGACTCCATGCGGGAGCTTCGTTTGCTGCGTCATGATCTCCACGCCGCTTCTAATTCCTCCCGAAGACGCGACTTCCGTGAGACTGCGCCTGCTGATGCGAGAGCCGCGAATGGGCGCATACGAGATTCTGGAAATCCGACGCATCGAACTCCATTCCTGGGAAGTGGGAACATCGGGAGATGCGGGGCGAAAATGAGTGTTTGAGAAAACGACGCAGCTACAGCTTGTTCCACCGCGTGTAAACGTTTATGGATATGTAAACGCGCATTGACAATCATTGGTGGAAACAGGGAATGTCGGGAGGCGCGGGGAGAAATGCAGCATTTGGGCGTACTAATGCTTCGACTGGATGGATAATGGTGAGAATCCACGATCCGGACACAAGATTAATCGTCCGGAAATGGGCTCTGTAAGGCCTTACCATCGGTTTTATAGCCATAACTTACTCTGAGGGTGCCGCTTTCCGGGATGGATGGAAACAGCGGGCTTGCGGACGACACACCGCCGAGTAACGCAGAGAGGAGAACTATTGGTAAGAGGATTGGAGATAACGAGCTACTAAGTCGGGAACGGGCCATCGTTGCGTAAGATTCTATTGCTAATCGGGAACTGGAATGAACTGGAACTATCCCTGCAATCTTTTCAGGGAAATTCGAGAAGTTAGGTGGAGTTGGAAAGCGCAAAACCTGCTCAACCACTGAGAGTTGGAGGAATTTATGCTGTAGAGTGTGCCGTGTGACTGAGGATGAGAACGCAATGTCGAAGAAAAACTGCGGTAATGGTTTTTGTTCGTGGGTGTTGCAAATGTGATATCAGCGCGAATTTATCATCGCTGGTGGCCGCTTGCGAATTGTGAGAGTTTCGCGAAGCTGCCGTTGCGAATATCGAATGGGTCGGTGATTCCCCTCGGTCCTGGTTACTATGACTGTTGGCGATTTGGCACGAAGATCCCCATTCGGTGGACACCATGTCGGCGCGTCGCATGTGTCACCTCCCTAAAATCGCGATTCGAGTAACGCGGAAAACATATCAAAGATTCGGGGCTGTCCGTATTTCCTGCCGCAGTTGTCGTTTTGCTTGGTGGTGAGGTGCTGCGAGTGGAATTCGGAACTCGGAACTCTACAGATTCCCTAGTAGGTCGGTAGCCTCGTGACAAAAAAGGGAGGTTAAGCTTGGTTCAAATGAAAAATATGTACTTCGGCAGACAATATAAACTAGTTCGCGTGTAGTCCACAAGGTGAAGAATCAGAAGCCAAAAAATGTTGTAAGAAACTCTATCAACTTATCTAGGAATGATGGTGGTGATGGAGGTGGCTCTTCTGGCACATCCACGCTGGGAGGGGGGTCCAAAACGGTGGGATTATCCACACTAGGTGAGTCGATTGCAACAGGTGCTATCACACAACTCCCTGCTCGTGGGTCTAAATTTGCTTGTACAAGAAATCGTGCCCCATTCTGGCCCACGATGTTGTATTGCACACCAGTAGCTGCATCTGATATCACATCACCATAACTGCTAGAAGGGACGAGCAAAAAAAAGGGGGGGGGGGGGGGGGGGGGGGGGGGGGGGGAGAGAAAAGTACGTAACGAGTGCAGGGGATAACTACAGTGTACTTGGCATGTCAATCTCCACTCCTCCATATTCACATCTCCAACCATCGCAAGTCCATAGACAGACACTGGACCTCAAAGAGTATATGTTGGTATCGTCCTCACCTGCTTTTACAAGCCCCTGAAAAGAAGGGAAGAATACGAAGAAAAAACACATCCTTACCTCGAGGAGCAGATGTCGGCGTTCTCCTCGCCCTGGTCGTCGAACCACGTGGCGAGGAAGGGGCTGCTGGTGGCCTCTGCGAGTTCATGCGCCAACACCGACACCATCCCGTCCATCCCCGTGTCCCCGTTCGGCGCCACCGCTCCAGGCTGGTTCAGGTACGGCGGGATGCAGCCCTCCGGGCACTGCGAGGGGATAGTTATGGAAGGGGAGTGTTTTTGAGAGACAATGGGACGCAGTTGTGTTGTTCGGTGCCACTGCTCCAAGCTGGTTCAGGTACGGCGGGATGCAGCCCTCCGATCACTTGGTTGCCACGTTACCGACAAAGGAAATCACGAGCTCCAGGCTGGTTCAGGTACGGCGGGATGCAGCCCTCCGATCACTTGGTTGCGACGTTACTGACAAAGGAAATCACGAGCTCCAGGCTGGTTCAGGTACGGCGGGATGCAGCCCTCTGGGCACTGCGAGGGAATGGTTGGAAGAAGGTATTGAATTGAAGATGTCACGCATCTTCATTGGGGTACAGTGATATGCAGGTGTCTGAATGGTCAGAGAGTTGCAGTGCGGTCCGGCAGTTATGAATGGGTGGTGATTGGTGCTGGGGCAGTGTGTACTGTAAACTCACACTAGTTTGTCAACAAACAGCATGTGAATAGGTAACAGGGTGGTCGGATTCAGGGAGGTTAAGGGTAGATGGATCACTTTTGAGAATTCCCAAAGGTAGATGAGATAGGTTCACTCCTGATTAACTTTTGAGGCGCCTCAAAAGTCGTCTCATTACCCGCGATCTTTTTTGAGGCGCCTCAAAAGGTTGAGGGTAGATGGATGAGGTAGATGAGATATAGGGTTACACCTGATTAACCGCATTCCCCTCTAAGGGAATGACGATTGGTCGCCAAAAACATTTAGTCCTGGGGTAGAGTAAAGGAGTGCCAAAAACATTTAGTGCGAGGAGGCTTCCCTTCTTACAAATGAATTGCCCGAGTTCTTACAAATGCATGGGTTCTTACCTTGTTGACTGCGTTTCCAACAAACGAGATAACAAGCGGCTGCTTACCCTGAGCTTGAGTGAAGGAATGCCATCCATCCGCGGTAGTGCGAGCAGAACGCCATTGCTACGTGTGTGACTTTGGAGATTTGAGACGTCTCAAAAGTCGCAATAGTGCGAGCAGAACGCCATTGCTACGTTTGTGACTTTGGAGAATTGAGACGTCTCAAAAGTCGCAGTAGTGTGGGCAGAACGCCATTGCTACGTTTGTGACTTTGGAGATTTGAGACGTCTCAAAAGTCGCAGTAGTGCGGGCAGAACGCCATTGCTACGTTTGTGACTTTGGAGATTTGAGACGTCTCAAAAGTCGCAGTAGTGCGAGCAGAACGCCATTGTTACGTTTGTGACTTTGGAGATTTGAGACGTCTCAAAAGTCGCAGTAGTGCGAGCAGAACGCCATTGCTACGTGTGTGACTTTGGAGATTTGAGACGTCTCAAAAGTCGCAGTAGTGCGAGCAGAACGCCATTGCTACGTGTGTGACTTTGGAGATTTGAGACGTCTCAAAAGTCGCAGTAGTGCGAGCAGAACGCCATTGCTACGTGTGTGACTTTGGAGATTTGAGACGTCTCAAAAGTTGCAGTAGTGCGAGCAGAACGCCATTGCTGCGTGTGTGCTGCTGCCCCAGGTCCTGCGGAAAGAGTTCTTACCTGATTGACTGCGTTCCCCACAAATGAGATGATGAGGGGTCGCCCGTCCTTTCCTTGGGTGAAGGAGTGCCATCCGCAGTAGTGCGAGCAGAACGCGAGCGCATACTGCGCACCCCCGGTCCCACTCGGATCATCCATCTGAGAAACATCTTCATCGGAAAGGACGAAATACACGCCGTCCGGGTCGTACGGCAGGGATCCGTTCCCGACCGCTGATTGGACGAGCCCCGCCACGTCAGAGCGCAGCAGCATGGTGCCGCGGGTGTATTTGGTGTCGTGAGTCTCGCCCTTTATAGTCACATTGGAGGAGATGTTTCGGCCCTGCTGGTCGAAGTAGAGCGTGTTGACAGCCCACCATGCGGGTACTGTAGAGAGGGGTTCAGAGGAGTTGAGAGGGGTTGAGGTTGCATCCAACCCCACAGGCGCGTGCATCCAACCCCACAGGCGCGTGCATCCAACCCCACAGGCGCGTGCATCCAACCCCACAGGCGCGTGCATCCAACCCTATCAAGAAATCAAAACACTCAACACACTCCAGCACAACCAACCACTCACCTGTGGCAGCTGAATCAGTCGCTTCAGCACTGAGAGAAGTGACAAACGACCGCACGATATCCTTCTGTTCGTCGCTGAACTTGGCACCGTACCACAGCAGGTACACCCCCACAGGCGCGCGCGTTCATCCTTATTGAAACACTCAACACACTCCAGCCCAACCAACCACTCACCTGTGGCGTCAGGAGGTGACTCAAAAGCCAACCACTCACCTGTGGCGTCGGGATTGGAGGCGTCCGAAGAGAGAGAGGCAATAAAGAGCCGCACGATGTCCTTCTGTTCGTCGCTGAACTTGGCACCGTACCACAGCAGGTACACCCCAACAAGCACGTGCGTTCATCCTTATTGAAACACTCAACACACTCCAGCCCAACCAACCACTCACCTGTGGCGTCAGGATTGGAGGCGTCCGAGGCAATAAAGAGGTGACTTTTGAGTCGACTCAAAAGTCAAAAGTCACTCACCAGTGGCGTCAGGATTGGAGGCGTCCGAAGAGAGAGAGGCAATAAAGAGGCGCACGATGTCCTTCTGCTCCTCGCTGAACTTAGCTCCGTACCACAGCAGGTACACCCCCACAGGCGCGTGCGTTCATCCTTATTGAAACACTCAACACACTCCAGCCCAACCACTCACTCACCTGTGGCGTCAGGAGGTGACTCAAAAGCCAACCACTCACCTGTGGCGTCGGGATTGGAGGCGTCCGAAGAGAGAGAGGCAATAAAGAGGCGCACGATGTCCTTCTGCTTCTCGCTGAACTTAGCTCCGTACCACACCAGGTACACCCCCACAGGCGCGTGCATCACGCCGCAATGCGCGGGCGAGGCGGCGCAGAAGGCCATTTGATCGGGATCTAGGTCGTCCCAGTGGTAGTCGATTCCCTGAGGCGTGAATGGGAGGCTCGTGCTGCTGCTGCTGCTGCTGCTGCTGCTGCTGCTGCTGCTAGGTGTTGTCGCTGCTGCTGATGACTCTGGTGTCGCTGCTGCTGATGATTCTGCTGTTGCTGCTGCGGCTGCGACTGCTGCTGCTGCTGTCGCTGCTCCTTCTTTGGATTCATGGCTGCATACAATACCAGGCAGAAAGGAAGCAAACGGACAAGGGGAGCAGGATTGACTTTTGAATCGACTTGACTTTTGAGTCGACTCTAAAGTCAACTGCTGCTGCTACTGCTGTCGCTGCTCCTTCGTCGGATTCATGGCTGCGTCCAATAACAAATAGAAAGGAAGCAAACGGACAAAGGGAGCTGGGTTACGAAACTGAATGAAACACTCATGATCGCACACCGTATGGAACGATTCTACTTCAGGCGGAGACGTGTCACGAAATGGAAGTAACAGTCTGCAGCTCGTCGTTCAGGCGGAGACGTGTCTGCAGTAACACACATCAGTACGCAGCAGTAAGCTACCTTGCTTTGTAGACAAATTTCTAGTCGACTAAAAAGTAGTACGCAGCAATCAGGTACCTTGCATTGTAGACGCGCGCAATTCCCGAGGGACGGACGGTCGCGGGGGTCTTGTCGCTCGAATCCGCGCTTCTGCTGGTGGAGGTTTCAACTGCCTGTAAAAGGCCGGCTCTTCTGGCGAAGGTGTATCTGATGGGGGGGTTGCGCTGGTAAGGCGCGAAGAAGCGAGGCGCGGGAGGGAAGAGAGGCGGGGAATGGGAAAGGGGAGGCGGGGAGAGGGAATTCACGGCTGGAATGGTTCGCAAACGGTTAAGAACGATTGAACAGAGCATGCGGGACGGCAATCGGACTCTCCGCGTCGAAGCGCTTTGCAATAGGAAGGCCGCGAACGGCGGGTTAAGCTGAGACGCTACCGTGAAGGGCGCTCGTGGTGATCATTCGACGACGATGATGACGATAAGCTGAAGGTACGGCCGGGAACGGCCGGGAACGACGACGATTTAGCGACCGTAAAAGGCGCTCATGGGAATGCCCCTACCGGAAAGGGCGTTCATGGTAATGATTCGACGACAACGATGACGGTAAGCTGAAGGTACGGCCGGGAACGGCGAGTAAAGCTGATTTAGCGACCGCTTAGTGCGCTCGTGGAAAGATCCCTACCGGAAAGGGCGCTCGTGGGGATGATTCGACGACGGAAATGACGGTAAGCTGAAGGAACGCAAGTAGGAGCCCCAGGAACAGCGGAAGCGCGCCTTTGAAACTGCCGTTGAGGCTCGCACGGAAACGCCAGATGCGGCGACAACGGGGCGACATTTTCCTGTTACAAATAACCATTTCCTTCGTCGCGTTTTGCCTCGTGCTCTGTTTTTGGTTTAGCAGAAGCTATCTAGCACACGAGCCCACACGTCGCCGTTCGGCCTCAATCCATGCATCCGTGACCCGAGCCGTTGAACAAGCTAGGAGACACGAGGCGAACAAAAGCGATTATTTGTTGTGTAAAGATTTCGGCACTGGTCATGTAGGTTCGTCAGGCGAATGGCAGTGGCCGCCACAACCACGAGACGTCATCAGGCGAATCCACAGGCAGTTTTCCAGGTGTTGCCTTCCCTCGAAATTGGTTGTGACCACATTTTTGTTAGGCATACGTAACTCTGAGAGAATTCCTGCACTTCGAGTCATCAGCACTTCGGGTCTTCCGAGGTTGTGGGATCCAATCGGAAAATCGGAATGCACCCCAATCTCTTGATTCCGAACTTCCGATTGGATCCCACAATTTCGGATGACCCGAAGTTCTGATGACCCGAAGTGCAGGAATGCGCCCTTATTTTCCTGCCACTCGTCAATCGTGAATGGTGGCGGATGATTCTTCTACAAGTCCTGAACGAAACTTTCAGTTGAGGGTTTCCAGACAAAAACTGCCCCTGAACATCTTGCAGCTCGTGTATTTCAATTTCGAGGATGTTTCCCGTTCAACGACCCACCGACAAATGGCAGGAATTCGCGCCTCGGACAAAGTTCCTCCTTCCACCAACTACGGTAACGATGTACAGTGATAATAATTACAGGTAAGAAAGGATACTGTCAAAAATACATCTTAGTTTGTAGGTGGTGGTGGTGGTGGTGATAGTGATGCTTGCTGTCTCTGTTTATTGGAGCCAAAAAACAGCTTCCAGAGAAATTGCAGGAGTTCAACAAGAGTTGAACCAGGTGGCGGCGACGGTGGCGGTGGCGGGGGTGAAGAGTAGCCTGATGGTGGCGGTGATTTTTTCGGTGGTGGTGATGACGAGCTGGAGCCTGGGTAAGGCACAGTGGTAGCGCATCTGCCTTTTGTCAAGTCCCAGTTTTGTTGAATCAGAAACTTGTAACCGTTGACACCTACTAGGTTGAATGGAGCGTTTGAGGAATCACGCTTTACGGTGCCAAACCTAATGGCGGGAGTTTGAAATGAGGGAGGAAAAGATTGGCAATTAGCGGGTTTTGAACAGTGCATGTGCATAAAAGGAAAAAGCAGAAGAAAGAGCAGACTGATTGAAACTAAGGATGAAGAGAAAAAACACAAGGGATCGGGGTGAGAGGAAAAGAGTGACAGAAAGATAAGAGAACTCGTAAGTCTGAGTAAACATTACTCACTTCCACCCGCATTTATCTGCATTCTCCTCCCCTTCGCCGTCCATCCACGTCAGCAGGTACGGGCTGCTAGTTGCCTCTGCCAGCTCGTGTGCATACACGGACAGCAGCCCATCCATGCCCTTGTCGCGGTTGGGCGAGGCGGACGAGCTTGAGATGAGGCTGGCGATGCAGCTCCCAGGGCACTGTGTGTGGTGGGGGAAGGGTGGTAGAAGGGTGGTAGAGGGGAGCCGGGTGTGTGCATGAGCACATTGTGCACACACAGACGGGTGAGGTTAAGGGTGTGTGCATGCGCACATTGTGCACACACAGACGGATGAGGTTTAGGGTGTGTGCATGAGCACATTGTGCACACACAGGCAGCAACCCGTCCATGCCCGTGTCGCGGTTGAGCAAGGAGGATGAGGATGAGATGAGGCTGGTGATGCAGCTCCCAGGACTTTTGAGGCGCCTCAAAAGTGACGCAGCTCCCAGGGCACAGCACTGCATGTGGGTCATTTATAGGGGGGAGTTTTGGAAGGGGGGACAAGGGGGGAGGGGGGTGGGTGGGGGGGTAGAAGAGCATGCGCCGACAAAAGCCCACCCATCTGCTGACCACGTGGCCCTTGCCCTTGCCACGTGGCCCTTGCCCTTGCCACGTGGCCTCACCTTGGACCTGGCGTTGCCCACCCAGCTGCTGACCACGCGCCCCTTGCCCGACACGTCAGTGTAGGTGTGCCAGCCACAGTAGTGCGTGCAGAAGGCGGATCCCTGGGATGACTGGCAAGGGCGGTTTGGGATGGGGTGGGGGTTGGGGGATTGGGAGGGGGGAAACGAGTCAACTCTCAAACATCAAGGCCCTTGCCCGACACGTCAGTGTACGTGTGCCAGCCACAGTAGTGCGTGCAAAAGCCGGACCCCTGGGAGGACTGGAATAAGAAATGAGGGCGGTTGGGGTCGGGTTGGGGAATGGGGAATGGGGAGGGAAGAATTGGGTTGACACAGAACATGAGGCCCTTCCCTGGGACGTCTGTGTACGTGTGCCAGCCGCAGTAGTGCGTGCAGAACCAATAGCCTTGAGAGGTCTGGATAGAGTCGGTTAGGGATGGGGTTGGGGTGGGGTTAGGGGATGGGGAGGGGGGAATAGAGTCCTCTCAATCAAACAGCAAGGCCCTTTGCCCGGCACGTCTGTGTACGTGTGCCAGCCGCAGTAGTGCGTGCCGTGCAGAACCCAGAGCCTTGAGAGAGGTCTGGGATAAGCGAGAAAGGCGGTTGGGGAATGGGGAATGGAAGGGGGGGGGGGGCTTTGGGGGAACTGACTTTTGAGGCGCCTCAAAAATGGAAGGGGGGGCTTTAAGTGAACTGTAAGCTTGCAGCCGTATGTCTGTCCCTCACTTCAATTCCTGCCAGACAGCATAGGCAGCCCGTGGTACGTGTGGGTGTCACTACAGGATGTCATCTCAGGTGTCATCTCAGGGTGTCATCTCACCTGCCCGACCGTTTCATCTGAGAGGACAAAGTACACGCCGTTTGGATCGTACGGCAAATTTTGGCCGTTTATGGCGGACGAGACGAGAGAGTCGATCTCGCTGTCGCTGAGGCTCGAGCCACGGGAATAGCCGGTGTCAGCCGTTTCATCTGCAAATGTAACGGAGCTGGAGATGAAACGCCCGTTACGGTCGTAGTACAGCCGGTTGATGTTCCACCACAGGGGTACTGTATGGGGGAGAGGGGAGGGGGGGAAGGAGTATGGGCAGGCAAAGGGAAAAGCGGGGAAGGGGGCGGTTGGGGCGGGCAAGACGTTGATGCAGGTGCGGTTGATGTTCCGCCATAGGCGTGCAGCGTGCTTAGGCGGGGGGAGGGAGGGTAGGGGAATGCCGCCATGCAAGCGCGTATAAGAGCGACGCGAGCGCAAATTTCAGCCGGAGATTGTAACGAACGGGGAAAGCGTACCAGTTATAGAGGGATCCGAGCTAGGGCTGAGCGACCGCGTGAAGGCGCGCACGAGCTCCTTCTGCGTCGCCGTGAACTTGCCGTACCATATAACATACACCTTGATCGGCGCATACATTACCCCGCAGTACGGACTGTTCCGGCACTGAAAGCTATCCCACCCCGGACTAATCCCTATCGGGCCCGCGAACGGCTTTATCTGAGTATTTCCGGCAGCGCCGGCCGCGCCGGGCGCGCTCACGCTTCCGCTGCTCTCGTTACCGCTGCTCTCGCTACCGCGGCTCTCGCTACCGATGGTGCGGTTCGAAGGGAATAATTCGTTAGCGCCGGAATCGGCGACGTGGGCTGATTGCGGCGTTATTGTGTAATAGCTTATCGGCAGGGAAGCGCCGCGTCGCACGTTCTGACCCGTGGGAGCCGCCATTGTGGGATAGAACCGCATGGGGCGGCGGGAAGGCGCTTCCCCGGCTGCTAAAAGCTGCGCCATTCCCCGTCTGCTTCCGCTGATCTTTCCGCTGATGTTACTACCGCCGCCACTGCTTCCGCCTGCTCCGCCCGCTGTCTGCGCGCAAGACGACGTTACCAGCAACATCGCCGTGATTACGACCCCAATGCTGTGTCGTCGCGTCTTTTCTTGATGCCACGTCATTGAGGACGGCTGCCACGTCAGCCTAGGACTTGCCTGGTAGAGCGGCAGGATCCAGCTGTAATGCAGCGAAGGTAGTCAAGGGGGTGTCTGGAGGAAATCCGACTTCCGCAATGAGATTTGGTTGCGGGGAACATTCTCCGTTCCGAATCCAGGCGCGCTCATAGGCAGCGAACGAAAATCGGCGGAATGAAACGGAATCGGGCGCAAGTGGGAAATCCAAATTGTGTGGTTTGGGGGAAAACAGCGCAATGGGGAGGGGAGCCGGGGCGGCGGGGGAGGGGGGCTGATGCTGTTGGGGGGGAGGGGGGGGTGGTGAGTGAAGGTTGAAGATAGGGGGGAATCCGCAGGGGGAAAAAAGGGCGCAGGGGGGCACGCGCACTGAAAAGGTCACGATGGTTGCGAGGGGGGTGGAAAAGGGATACTGAAGCGGGGATCGTTTGGCGAGGCGAGGCGAGACTAGCCAAGCCACCCAGATAAAATCTGTAAGGGAGGTTGCCAATAGGTCTAGGCCTAGGGAATTGCTGAGTGGGGTTGTTGAGAAGGGTTGGGTTGGGTTGGGACGAAGTAAAAAAGCATGAAAGGGGTTGGAAGGAGTGCGAGCAATCAGTAGATCGAGGGAGCATTGATGATTTGGATGTCGAGTCGCGTAGGCTCCGATACAGGTGTTGGCGCGAGACAGGGTCGAATCGTGAGAAGAGAGTGACTGAGGTGTAAGATTAACTAGTGAGGTCTACACAACCAAGTTCTTCACATCCTGGCTAATTTCAAACGTTGGAAATGATTATGCAGTGCACTTATGTACACCACCGCCTTATACCAGACGAAATGGGTGCACATACATGGAAACATGGAAGCTCCATAAACATGCACCATGCCGTGGAAACACTCTCTTTATTCCAGCTTATTAGAAGCCGCTTTCGTTGGGAGCGTGAAAGACAAGTTTCAATATGTCTTGTGAGTCAACAGTTGCTGCTGCTGGCTTCACGAGGAGTGTGAGTCAGGAGCCTCCTTGAGTATGCGCCAAGGACCGCTGGCAGTGCACACCCTGTAACGAGTTTGACAAAAAAGGGCATGTGGAATGAGGCCGAATGGCGTTGATGAAAACATGCGTTAATACAAAACCAGAAAAAAAAAAAGTCCAACTCACTATCAAATACAGCTTCGAAAATAACAGCAGCGAGTACAGCAAAAGTGATTGAATTACCTTGCCAAGCCGATGAGCATGCGTGCGGTCATGATGAGAGTGAGGCCGACCCACACACCATGGATGCCCATGACCTTTGGCGCATAGGCCAGCACTCCAGCTATGGGGGGCATCACCGTGATCTGGAAATGGGAAGGAGGGTGGGGAAGAAGAGGAGGGTGGGGAAGAAGAGGAGGGTGGGGAAGAAGAAACATTGAGATTGTGAGAGACAGAGGAACAGTAAGACAAGAGAGGAGAGGAGGTGAAGAACATAAAAAACGGAAAGGAGAAAGCCTTCGAGAAGGTGGCGGGAGTTCAGCTTCTCGACCTTCGAGAAGGTCGATAAGGGAGTTCACTTTTGAGAATTCTCAAAAGCGAGAGGAGGTGAAGAATATGGAAAACGGAAAGGAGAAATCCTTTTGAGAAGGTCGATAAAGGAGTTCACTACTAGGGTGGCGGGATACGTGAGTTGAAAGAGGCATGTTGAAGCCCGTCAATGACAACGTGTGAGGGGGGCTAGAAAGGGAGTAAGAGAGTAAGAGGAGTTTAACTGACAGTTGCAGAGGTGGCATAGGCAGAGTCAGAGGCACCGTAGCGTAACCCGTCAAAAAGGCAGCGCTCAAGGCGGCTCGAGGGAGTAAGCAGCGCGTGTCCAATAAGGTCAGTGGTAGGGGGACTCACCGTTGCAGTGACGGCATAGGCAAAGACGGATGCGCCACAGTGCAAGCAACCCGTCAAAGAGACAGTGGTAGGGGTTGAGTGGTTGGTTGGGGAGGGGACTTACCATTGCGGTGGTGGCAGAGGCCAAGACGGATGCCTGGTGGTGCATGCAACCCGTCAAAGAGACAGTAGTAGGGGTTGAGTGGTTGGTTGGGGAGGGGACTTACCATTGCGGTGGTGGCAGAGGCCAAGACGGATGCCTGGTGGTGCATGCAACCCGTCAAAGAGACAGTGGTAGGGGTTGAGTGGTTGGTTGGGGAGGGGACTTACCATTGCGGTGGCGGCAGAGGCAAAGCCGGATGCCTGGTGGTGCATGCAACCCGTCAAAAGACAGTGGTAGGGGTTGAGTGGTTGGTTGGGGAGGGGACTTACCATTGCAGTGGCAGCAGAGGCAAAGCTGGATGCCTGGTGGTGCGAGCAACCCGTCAAAGAAACACTTTACGGTGGCTCCGTAAGGAAGGGAGGGAGAGAGCAAGAGAAGACTCACCATTGGAGTGGCAGCGTGTGCGAAGTCGGATGCGCCGTAGTGCAGCCCGTCAAAGACACTTGGAGTCAATTCAGTAAGGAAGCACGGGAAGAAAGAGCAGCCCATTAGGCACTCACCATGGCGGTGGCGGCATAGGCGAAGTCGGATGCGCCGTAGTGCAGCCCGTCAAAGACAAAGGCGAGCGACGTGATGGGCTGTGTGGCTGCCACGAACTGAGGGAGTGATGGAGTGATGGGGCGGATGGGAGGGATGGGAGGGATGGAGGGGAAAATGGGGTTGGTTGACATTTGAGTGCGCTTTTGAGATGACATATGAGCGACGTGATGGGCTGTGTGCGTGTGGCTTTTGAGTCGACTCAAATATGCCTTTTGAACCCGTGTGGCCGGATTTGAAGGCACGAGGAATGTATGTAGGGTTGGCAAGGGTGGGGATAGCCTGTGATGGGATGAGTGCTTCGAGGAGGAGAACGTAGGAGGCAAGAGGGGACAGGAAAGAGGACAGATGGACGTACCGGCATGAGAGAAGTGAGAGCCTTTTGAACCGTGTGGTCGGACGTGAATGCGCGGGGGATGTAGGGCGTGGCGAGGGTGAGCAGGGTGGCGGTGGTGAGGCCCATGAGCAGCGCCATCTGTGTGGCACGCATGGCGATCCTCCTCACCCTCCTCGCATCGTGGCGTGCAAAGGCTGACGCCAGCATGGTCTGGTGGGAAGGGCGGGGTGGTACGAGAGAAGGGAGGAGGATATTAGACGGCGGCTGCGATGCATTCGATGAAGGAAAGGAATGAACGGTTTTGACATGGCCTTTCAAGGACTGCTAGACCAAGCACCGTCTGGGGGAAGATGCGGGAAACATCGACTCAGAGAGACATATCTGCATGGCGATCTGGTGTGCTACCATCCTCGTGTGGCCCTGCCCCCCCCCCTCCCTTCCGCCCCTGCCCACCCCTTGTTCCGCCCTCTCCATGTCCCCCCTTCCCTGTGCCCCCCTCACTTTTTCCCCTCTCCCTCTCCCTCTCCCTCTCCCTCACCTGGGCGCCAAGAGCTACTGAGTCGGACATGAGAGAAACGGCCAGCCAAATCTGCATGGCGATTTGGTGTGCTGCCATGCTCGTGTGGCCCTGCCGTGCTGCCATGGACGTGGCGAGAGTCATGGTGCAGAGCAGGGCGAGCGTGCGACCCAGTAGGAGACCACCTGGAGAAGGGAGGAGTGAAGAGCGGTGGAGAAGGGTGAAGTGAGGTGCTGCCATAAAGGTGGCGAGGGTCATGGTGCAGAGCAGGGCGAGCGTGCGACCCAACAGGAGTCCACCTGCGCAAGGGAGGAATTGAAATCGGTGGAGAGGGGTAAATTTAGGTGCTGCCATGGAAGAGGCGAGGGTCATGGTGCAGAGCAGGGCAAGAAAACCGTCTGATGGTTGTTGTGAGAAACCGAGGAAACAGGAGTATAGCAGAGAGATTTGGAGTGGTGAAGAGCAGCGCGACGCGGTGCTGCTGCTGGGCTGCTATGGAGGTCGCGAGGGTCACGATGCAGAGCACGGCAATCGTGCGACCCAGCAGGGGATCAGCTAGCTGTGGCAGCTCTTTAATGAGACTTGCTTGACAGGCGTCTACACTCACCGGACTTGAGAAAGCGGTCGAGCTTGAGATCGGAGAGGCGGGGAGGCATGAGCACCACGCGCTGGCTGAGCTGCCACAGCATGAAGGCTGCAATGCTGTACTGCGCTGTCACTGTGGCGAAGGCTGCCCCGCTAACTCCCATCCCGCATGCGAACATGAGGACAGGGTCCAAGGCAATGTTGACCACGTTGCCTCCCACTGATGGGGGAGGGGAAGGAAGCGAGCAGGAGTGCGAGAAAGAGTGAGGGAGGGAGAGAGAAAGAGGGCGCTGCTGCACTGCCACCCAGCCTGCGTGCGAGAACAATATTAAATGGACACCTGGAGAAACTAAGTCCTTGTGTACCTTGAGCAATGAGCGGAGTGCGAGTGTCCTTAAAGCCTCGGAACACCCCTTGAGTCGCCAGAGCCAGCACCACAGCAGGCGCACCCAGCGCCCTGAGGGAGAGGTAGTGCAGCGCTGGGCCACGCATGGGCGAGGTCTGCAGCACACAGCGAAGGAAGGAACTCAAAGGGGGAGGAGAATGAAAATGAGGGGATGAGGAGAAGACACACAGCAGGTGCACCCAGCGCTCTGAGGGAGAGGTAGTGCAGCGCTGGGCCGCGCATGGGCGAGGAGGAGTGTAGCGGAGTAACGGGGTAACATGTTGCAAGGCCAGGCAGGAAGAGTAGGACAATGCACACACCGCAGGGACTCCCATCGCGCCGAGAATGGGCGCGGCAGCAGAGGCGAGCACCACAGCCTCGACAATCCCAAGAATGGCGCCCACCAGCAGTGCCGCTGACACCGCCGGCACCACTCGCTTCTCACCCACCACTCCTGCTGCAGATGCTGACGCTGCTGCTGGTTGTGGAAAACGAAGACAGCAGTAGAAGGGGCAGGATATGAGAAGATTTGATATTGAGACGACACAAAACTAGCGAGCAACAAGGGCAGGAATA